CCCTGGAGCATCGTGAGGGAGGTAAATCGCAGGTTATGCCTCCAAGAGTATAGGGTGGAAGGCTGCTTGTACACTTGCACTTACCCAAGAGCCAAATCCATATTTCAGGATTCGAATCCTTGACACAGCAGCATCAAGCAAAGTTGGATTTCTCCACCCTCCCCTTTTACCACTTGGAGATGTGCCCTTTGTAATTTCTGTGTTACATTTGTTGTGGTTTTGTTGGTTTGCTCAATAAAATTTGATACTCGACCCTTTCCTGCATTACACTTGTTTTGATTTGGTTTGTATAAAAAAAATTAAAGTTTGATGCTGATTAGTCAAATATGTGTGACGTGTTTTACATGGGAATAAAAAATATGTATTTAAATTCTCAATATATGTATTTTCAAGGAAATATACAGTATTAGTTCCTCATATTTAATTTGAAAATCTCTGTCATCGATCAATATATTTGTTGCACAAGGCAAGAAATATTAAGGGAGAAATTATTAATTATAGAAACTACAAAAAAAAATTTGAAGATGGAAAATTTGGCTTATTTGTTTCAGAATGTTTTGCACGGCAATAGAATTAAAGATGGGAACCTACTGAGTACTAACTAGTGGTCTAATTCCCAAAATACTTTTTATCATTTTTGGTCTAGGATTCACCTTTTTAAGTTTATATATCATAGCCCAAAATGATTATTAATTTTCTTCTTGAATTAAAAACTGTTTGGACCTCATTTTTGGCTAAGAATACATTTTCGAATAATAGTTTGATGAAGAATGTGTAGTTAGAAAATAAGAAAAAAAATTGGATTTGTTTGTAATATTATTTCATTGAAGAATTTGTGGTTGAAAAGAAAAGTGATGCAGGAGGATTCGAGTCGAGTGATGCTGATTTGTCAAATAGCACGATGATGGCGCTGAGATACTATGAGATGGCGGATCGACGCAAAGATGGAAAGTGAATTGCAATTATTTCCTTAATTGAGGGAATTTGATGCGTCTTTGGTAATTTGGCCATAACTTTGGCTATGGTTATCGGAATCGCTATTATGACCCCAATCCGAAAAGCTCTCTTCGACACGCACGTCGTGGCCACCCAGCTATGCTCAGTGGACGTCAATTTCGAGCCAAAAATTCACTGTTTTCCTTTCAAAATTCAATTTTAAGTTATTTTTTATTATTTATGGTAATATTTCGTTTCCCTTTTTCCATATATTAGAAAACTTGAATTGAGCCAAATTTTTGGCAACTTACTTCTTTTACTTAATATTTTATTTTGGTATAATTTTGAAATTTTGCCATTTTTGGTAATTTTCCCATAATTTCGTATTTCGTAACTATTTAACCTAGCTTGTGGGTTAATTTTGATCATTCTTCATTATTAATAATATTGAGTTGAGTTCAAAGTATTTTCTCTAGTTTTTGGGCATTTTCTGTCATTTCTTTCTTGCAAATCATCTGCTACAACAAGCCAATAGGATAATCACTATCCTACTCGACATCAGTTGGTATCAGAGCATCAGCATCTTTTTGGGAGATAAATTCCATCAGTTATAATGGTTGGTGGACGTGGTCATGGTTGTGGTCGTCGGGGACACGTTCCGATTGAGAAAGTCCTACACCGTGATTGTAATATTCAGGATGTGACTATTGAAGATTTGTAGAGACAAGTTGCGGAGTTAACCCAACGTTTGGCAGAGTAGGAGTTCGGTAATCATGATGTGGAGGGTCACGATTTTGATACCAGTTTCGAAAACCCGTATCACCATCGTGCTCGAGTTTGGGAGCATCGTGGATGGGAGGATAGTCATGTGGATCTCGATTTTAGAGTGGATCTGCCCTAGTTTTCTGACACGTTGCAGGCTGAAGGATTTATTGATTGGCTGAATGAAGTGGAGCGGATTTTTGAATATAAGGAGGTTCCAGATCGTGTCAAAGTGAAACTGATCGCCATCAAACTCAAAGGTAGAGCATCTGCATTGTGGGAACAATTGAAGCGTTCACGAAAGCGACAGTGGAAATCCAAAATTACTAACCGGGAGAAGATGAAGAAGAAGATGAAAGGGCACTTCCTCCCTTTTGGCTATACTCAAACCTTGTTTCAGAGGCTCCATTCACTGAGGCAAGGTGCAAGATCAGTCAATGATTATACTAAAGAGTGATAGTGTCAAGTATATAGAAAAATATATTTTGAAAATAATAGAGATCAAACAAGGGTTATAAAGCATGAAAAAGCAAAATAAGAAGGTTGATAGCTAAGTATTAATAGGCTTTTTTTTGGACAGTTGAAACTTTACGTATGAAATTGTTCATATCTTAAATTTTAGGCTGAACCAGTTGGATAATGATATTCAAATACATCTTGGTTTTACAATTAAATTTTGATGTAGGACGATTTGTACTTTCTGTGTTAAATTTATTGGGATTTTGTTGGTTTGCTAATTAAATTACACTCATTACGATTTTGTTGGTTTGCTAATTAAATTTTGATGCAGGACCTTTTTCAGTATTACATTTTATTTTCATTTGGCTGGTACAAATAATTAATGTTTGATGTGTTTGATTAATTTTGTGGACTAACATAATGTAATGACAATTGACATTTGGACTATTTATGGGATGGACAACTTATACTACTTATCATGCTTTGGGCCTTTGGGTCCATTCTTCTTTCTTATCCAAGCTTACCTATTGGGCTTGTGGGCCATCAAAAGGGTTTCAGATTTATATATGCTCTCTTTGGCAAATGTATGGAGAGAACAGGATTGAAGAATTGGATTCAAAAGAACCCTAGTCTCCATCTCTCGATTTTAATCTCATTTGCAAGTTCTTCATTGATTTCCCATGGTTTCTAATCAAGTTCTACTAACACTTGGAGGTAATGTATTTCATTAATGGATTTTATATGCTTCAAAACCATGGGCAATATTCTTGACATTAATGAGATGCAATGGGCTGATTTAGATATTCTAATATTGTTGTTTTGCTCATTTAATACTCATTAAATGTTATTATATTCCAACATTTGGTATCATAGCCTAATCCAATGTGTTTTGAAGTTGGAGGTTGATTAATTCAGTATTTACTAAAACTTAATGTGTCCTTTTCGGTAACCAGCTACTTGAATCCAAGATTACTGTGTTGGAATGTTATTATAGAAACATGAGATTGCTGTGTGTGGATATAATCAGAAAAAGGAGTAAATTTCATTAGCGATCATTTTACATAATAAATAAATAAATTGGTGTGGCATTTTAATAATATCATTTCTTTAATATCTTGGACACAATTGAATATTATGTGCTTGTGAACTTATCTCTCGTAAATCTAGGCATTCGAATATTTTTGTTGTTATTATTTTCTTCCAATTTCGATCACTTTTCTACTAAGATCCATAAGGGCAATGAAATTATCCTATCGACGAGTTCATTGTTTAGTAGTATGCTTAGATTGGTGAAGAGAATGTATGAAATATTACGAACATGCACAATTTTTTTTTTTTTTACTATCCTATCAATAGTTGATTGATGCATTTGGTTGTGATACTAAATGTATTGCTCTTACCTATGAATGAGTCAATGGACTATAGCATTCAATGATCACTTTTATGGATCATTTAAGAAAGTTGAAGAAAGAGTGAATACCATGATCATGTCTTTTACATGCATATGAATGTCGTTCTTGTGGTGTTTTTTATTTATTTTTTTTGGTTTGAGCTTTGGGCAATCCTTAATTTTTTGCCATTCTGAAGCTAAATGGGACTAATAATAGAGAATGGGTTGAATCTCTCATGATGAATCTTACCATCATGAAGTTGGACTTGGCCTTGAGAAATGACTCTCATCCTAAGCCCACTGCTAAAACTTCTATTGATAAAAAGAAGTTTTATGATGACTGGGAGTATTCAAGCCGGTGTTGTTTAATGATCATGATGAATCACAAGGAGGACTCTATACGTGATAACATTGCAAAGATTGAGACTGCTAAGGCATTTCTATAAGCGATCAACAAGAAATACAAAAAGTTTTCCAAAAAAGTTCTTCAAGAATGAGTTTAACGCCAT